TGTGCGCGCGTGTACTTTACGGAAAAAGAAAAGAAAGAAAGAAAAAAAGAAAGTAATTCGAAGGAATAGCGGCATAAAAGAAAGAGAGAGAGAACGTTGAGGTCGAGTCACGATCGCATTTTGAATCGGTCGGTGTTGAGAAATTAAATTTTCTAGACTCGTAGACGACGCGGACCGTCGGGTCGTATCGAGTTCGAATCTAATTTGCATGAAAGGACGGAACACGGGTTGTTTACCCATGTATATGTAAGCATGGAACAGTTGCGAGCAGCGGCTGGCAACGTATTTGCGAGAGGATTTGGTAGGAAAGGAGAGAGGCCACACCGCCTTCCTTCGCGTATCGCCGAGGAAGGGTGGTATCGAGGGATCGTAGGAGGGATCCCGAAGGCGAAGCGCGGCGGAGAGAGGGACGCGAAAAAAGGGAGTGAGAGAGAGAGAGAAAGATATGGCGCGACTACCTTATTACGCATGCACCCTGTCCAACAAAAGGGACTCGTTCGTTCGTTCGTTCGTTCGTTCGCTCGCTCGCATGCTCGCTCGTTCATTCGCTGACTGACTGACTGACTGAATAACTAACCGACTGAGTGACTGACTGACTGACGTACCGTACCCACTTCGTCATCGTCCCTTCCCCCTTCCCTCCGTTTACATATTTCCAAGATCAACATAACCGCAAACGTTTCTCTCGATACAAATTCGTATGCGTGTACCGAATAAATACGTAATACCTCTATTTTGAGAGGCGATCGTTTCTCGAACGAAACGAAAAGGGGGGCGGTTCCTCTGCTCTAACCTCTCCTTCCAAACGAATAGACACGCTCGTTAGCGGTTTGCCGGCCGACTTAACCGAAAAAACGGAGAATCGAGTTGAAAAGGTGGGACGCGTTGAAAGACGCGAGCGAAGATTGGGATCGGTCCTTTCTTTTATTATCGGTTCGAAGAAAAAGGATATATTTATCGCACAAAAGAGTAGCGATCGGTGTGGCGGGCCGGGAATGGCGTTTAAACACAAACGGTTGCTGCGGTTCCCGTGGAATC